GCGAGATCCATGCTGTGAAAAAGGCTTTTGCGATAGTGTCTGCGGTGATGTCTGGCAATGGTACTGCGTCTGGCCACCTGGAGAAACGATCGATTAATGTTAGGAAATACCTGAATCCCTGTGATGGCGGCATTGGTCCAATTATATCCAGATGCACATGGTCGAAACGCGCATCTGGCACCGACAGCTTCTCAGGTAGTAAACGGTTGTGACGAGCGACCTTCGCTCGTTGGCAGCGAAGACATGCCTTTGCCTAAGCGGTTATGTCTTTGTTCATACTGTTCCATATGAACTTTTGCGCGATGTGCCGTCTGGTAGCTCTTCCGCTTGGATGTGATAGTCCATGTACCATGTTGAAAACACGTCGACGTAGGGACGCTGGAACGAATGGACGGATATTGTCTTGAGAACAGTCGCAGTATAGACTAGCGTTGGTTTCAGGTAAAAAAAATTTTTGCAGCTTTAGACTAGATGGAGATTGCAATTCTTGCTGTAATTCTTCGTCCGTAGCTTGTTCATGTGCTAGTTCTTCCGTGTCGACGATGACAGGCATCATGATTGAATCGATTCTTGAAAGTGCGTCTGCAACTATATTCTTGTCGGCCGAAACATGGCGAATGTCTGTTGTGAATTCGGAGATGTACGTTAATTGTCGGCATTGTCTCGGTGAAGCTCGGTCGAGTTTTTGCGAAAAAACAAAGATGAGTGGTTTGTGATCGGTGATCACGAAAAATCTGCGACCTTCTAACATGAATCGAAAGTGTTTAATTGCTGCATAAATCGCTAACAATTCCCTATCGTATGCGCTATAGTTACATTGCGCTGTGCTAAGTTTCCTGGAGAAAAAACTTAATGGTTTCCACATTCGATCTTGCCATTGTTGGAGAACAGCGCCTATCGCGGATCCGGATGCGTCGGTTTGTAACGAAAATTGTGTTGTTGGATCTGGGAATGAGAGAAGCGTGGAGTTGGCTAAATTGTCCTTAAGCTTCTTAAAAATAGCTTCCTTCTCGGAGGTCCATTCAATTTGAGTCTGTCCGTTTTTCTTGTGCCCTGTGATTGCTTCTTGTAACGGAGCTTGTAAACTTACGATATCAGGTATAAATCTATGATAAAAATTGATCATACCTAAAAATCTGCGGAGTTCTTTGACGTTTTGTGGTTTAGGAAAATTTTGTATAGCTTCGACCTTTTGTAACGATGCTGCGAGTCCTTTTGCTGAAATATGATGACCAAGAAATGAAACTTCTGGTGATCCGAAAACACACTTAGCAGTGTTGATAACTACGCCGAAATCTTGCAAGCGTTGAAATATTTGTTTCAGATGCTCATAATGCTCTTCTGGAGTTTTGGATGCTACGATAATATCGTCCAAATAAGCATAACAAAAATTGAGTCCTCGAACGACTTCATCCATAAACCTCTGAAAGGTTTGAGCTGCATTGCGTAATCCAAAGGTCATGAATGGAAATTCGTAAAGCCCGAAGGGCGTTATTATCGCTGTTTTGTCTATGTCCTCTTCTCTGACCGGAATTTGCTGGTAAGCGCGGACGAGATCGATTGTTGAAAATATAGTCGCTCCGTGTAAAAACTGTACACAGTCCTGCAGGAATGGAATTGGGTAGCAATCTGGTTCTGTTATAGCGTTAAGCTTGCGGAAATCACCGCATGGTCTCCAGTCTCCGGTTTTCTTTGGAACTAGGTGTAGCGGGCTGGCCCAGGAACTTTTAGAAGGGCGGCACAATCCTTGTTGCAACATGAATTCAAATTCGAGTTTCGTTGCTTTTAATTTATCAGGGGCGAGGCGACGAGCTTTTGCTGTGACAGGTTGACCCTTGGTTATGATGGCGTGTGTCACACCGTGCTTAATGTTTTTCGGAACTACCTGACTTCGTGTGATTTCTAGAAATTTCTTGAGCAATTCATCGTATATAGTATTCGTTTTTGAAAACGGTAGTTGTAAAATGGAAATGTTATCTACTCGACCAGATACGTTTAGGCTTGTGTTGCCGTCAATCAATCTTTTTCGGCGAATGTCAACTAAAAGATTGAAATTCGATAAAAAATCTATACCCAAAATAGGTTTACTTACATCTGCCAGGTAAAAAGGCCATTGGAATGCACGGCGCAGTCCGAAATCTAATTGAAGTAGCTTTTGACCGTATGTTGCTATAGGAGTGCCATTTGCTGCGCAAAGTGTAAAATTTGACCTATTGCGTTTTTCTCCTAGTGAAACAGGGATGATGGAGACATCGGCTCCAGTGTCCACGAGGAAATTTCTTTGAGAATTGCGATCTGTTATAAATAGGCGGCGTACGACTAAATGCGGGGTGCCGGCCACTGTTGACACCCCGGCCTCTAGTTTTCCTCTTTTTTGCTGGACTTGTCATTCCAATTGCATGGTGAGGTGCACTTTTTGGCTTTCTGACCGAAACGTTTGTGATACCAGCAGTGCTCAGAGCTTGCTGGTAAAGACCTTGTACATGATCTGCTGCCAGATCTCTCACGCCGTCGAGGAGATGCCTTGCGATGCTTTGATTCTATGCGATCTAACCTTTTGATAATTTCAGAAAGCTGGCCGTCCCAGGGTGATGTTCCGGTGGCTGCAGGCGTAACTTCCATGCAAACGTTGGTGGGGACTATGTCGTGGATTCGATCTGCCATTGTTGCAAGCTTGTCTAGTGTATCCTCGCTAGTGGAAAGTACTGTCTGTGTATTGGTTGGAAGACGCTGCATCCATAAAGATTTGAGGAGTTCGTCGGATACTTTATTTTCTGCCAGATCTCTCATGCGTCTTAACAGATGAGATGGGCGTTGAATGCCGAGTTCTGTCTGATTTAATAGTGTTTTCAGACGTTTTTCTTCACTGTCTTGAAACTCCCTCAAAATGCATGATTTTAGTGCTTCGTACTTATTAAACTCAGGAGGATTAGTGAGTAATTCACTTACCTCGGCGAGTACATCTGCGTCGAGAGCTTGTAACGCGTGGTGGAATTTGGTGAGATCCTGCGTATTTCCGTTCGTTGCAAATTGCGTTTCCATCTGAATAAACCATATTACCGGTTTTTCCTTAGTGAATTTTGGCGGGCGGATACTAACGCGTCCCACCACTCGAGCGGCATTGCTGGGATCGTCTTCTGACATTGCGAGCGAATTATGTGCTTTTTGAGTTCAATTTGGGGTCACCAATGTGGGGGTACAACTACGTTAGGCGAGTATCTCTCGATCAGCAGGTTATGCAAAGTACGACGACTGTTACTGGGTGAATATATCTTTTATTCTTACGACTATAATACAGCCATCTTGTCTTCTTAACTCTAGTAACTTATATCTATGCTTTTGGTTCATTTTCATGAGCGTATTAACTAGCGCCTCTGTAGGGAACCCGCTCGACGAGGTATTGTCGGTAACATGGACGGAAAGTGGTGATGTGTATGCCCACAAAGGCCCCGCTGATCTGAGTGCGTTCGGAAAGAAACAATAGATCAGTTACGATGAACTTTCTGAACTTATTGCACGTGTGCAATAATTCTGAGAATTGTTCGATAAAGAACAAACTATTGTCAGATTTAACAGTACTTGTACATGTTCTTATCTGATGCTGACAAACATAAACTACGTTTACACGGCTCGATTTACGCCGAAGTTATAACATCGATGTTATGAATCTGACCAATCATATCTATTA